GTTTTCAATGGAGCTTGAATTGGTTCAGTGCACCCTATAGGGTACCGAAGTGTGACGTCACTGTGAACCAGAAAGTACAGTGCAGTACGCATGCTTGTTGCTTGACGCGCTGGTTCTCGCGCGCTAATGCCTTTTACACACTAATTACGCGCGTGACGTATTCACTTCGGTATTAAGTTATTGCTTCACCTGACTCGGACCGGGCAACCAACCCCGGCAAGCTTGGTGGTCGAGTGGTTAAGATGTCTGCACCGGTAAGCAGGAGGTCGTGGGCTCGAGTCCCACCCAAGTAAGCCTGTGAATCGTTTGCAAGTTCTCGGATTAGCACTGGGCATACAGTGTTTATCAGCTTTTATATACGGTGGGTAAGGGCAAAACCCGTTATATAAATTAATATGTCCCAACGCAAAAATACATCTTGAAAAAAGGTTATTTATTTTGTGAGTACCCAAAAAGCACGCCCTCTTTTGTTCCGCTCAGAGCAGATAAAGACAAAAATGCACAAAATGCGCGGCCGAACAATGGCGGGGCACTGCGTTTCAGGAGGGTAATGTGATGCTGTATGGTGGGCATTTAGTCAAAATCATGATTATGGAGACAACCTTTTTCTTATGGGACCGCGGATAAGCCCTCGGCCACCCTCACGAAAACAAGTAAAAATAAACGGAAATTGCAAGAACATCATTTCCGGAATTACTTGACCATTTTCTTATTGAATAACCCACCCTAAATCGATAATATTAACCTGTTGATGTGTATGTGTACATTTGTTTTTGTTTTTAAATTTATTTTTCACACCTGTTGTCAACAGTCTTACTTGGGCAATAATTTCCCTTTGACGGGTAGTCGTGATTTGTTCATCGTGTAAAAATTGAGATTTTCACCAAGACCCACAGTACCGGTACAGGTTTTGCCAGTAATTATAATGTCTAAACTGTCCACATATTTTCCCATGTAATTTCGATGAGTCAACAATAAAAAAAATCATCAATAAAATGAATTAAAGTCTTAATTTTACACACTCACAGGAAAAATGTACTGAAATCCATTCATATATTGAACAAAATTATTGAAAACGGACATGTGACATACAGAAGTGTGAGAATCTTTTCTGTGAGAAGCATGGGCGCAGCCATAACTGAACAGCCAAACTAACTTACTGCTGTTTTTACCACAGACACTTATAAATCAATTTTGCAAGTTGACCAAAGATTTACACTTAATAAGTACGTTTCTGAATAAAGTCAGTTTTAACTGAGAACAAATAATTTATAATTAATGATACAAAGTTTCTTTCTTAAATTCATTGCGTTGTCTTTGAACTTCCTTGCTTGTTACTTCATTCAACGGAAACGTCAGCTCTCTGCATCTCGTTTTAGGCCTACTGGTTTCATTTTTGCCGTGAAGAATTCTGTCACTCGATATTACATCGTCTGTCATTTTCCCGGCGAAATTTAGGGCAAACAAACATTAAATTAATCATTCAGTTTTTGAAACCACATTACACTACCCGAGTGTAATGACGTCACGGATGGACTGTTCGAGCATGGAAATGATGGAATGTGAGTTATAGAGACCGGGGGATACCAGAGCAGCCCTTCTTTTCCACTTTCCAGATCAGAAGGGACTTCCCCTAGAACTCGGGATCCCAAAGACGCTCCGAGAAAAACTTAAAAAATTTCTCAACATTTCTCTAAAAGTCAAATGCCCCAAATTTTTGCCACAAAATTTGAATACGCTAAAGTAGTCGCCGTTCACGCTGTCTGGCTAATCGACAACGGTTACAAAACGAAACGCGATTTAATCGAGCAGGAAAAGCTAGACGTGCAAAACACAAAGCACCACGTTTGTTTAGTTAGAAAGACCAAAAATGGCAACAAGTTGAAATATTTCAACAAATGAAATATTTATATTTAAATACCAAATCAACAAATGAAATATTTATATTTAAATACCAAATGAAATATTTATCCCCGGTGATTTACTCGTCGCTTAAAAAAATGAAAAATAAATAGAAACCAGACAAATATAAAAAAATATGATAGACCATAAAACAAACGTAAATTGTTATTTTTGCCAAGACACGATCAATTTGATTAACTTGGTAGATTCACACGGTTGCTTGCGCTGTTTAAATTCCGACTATTTATTTGAATGCGCCGATTGTAAAGAGTGTCACGATTGTCACAAATTTAATGTAACGACTGCACTAAATGAAGTAAATGCTCTACTTGCGACCAATGCAGCAGATGTATAAATTGCGTGGCCTGTTTCAATTCATACGACTGCGAAAATTCAAATGCCTTTGACAGTTGCGAAAACTGTTACGAGTGCAGCAATTGTATCGAGTGTTTTGGTTGTACGGCTTGCACCTGCTGCGTAAATTGTATCGAGCTGGAAGGTATGGATCACGTGGTGTCGTGGACGGCAAGCATAAAAAGCTGCGGCACAAAAGAGACGATGAACCACCACCTTATTCTGCGTCTAAACTCGACTCTGATTTATATGAAATTGTGTTAATTAATAATTGAATATGACGTTTACGCTTCGTTATTTGATCATAAAAAGCGACCCATCGACGCGTCAAATATCGAGAAATGTATAAAGAAGAGATGCGACGCTCAGTCATTCATTTATCCAAAAGATGTGTATTACGGAACCCACGGTTCGCTTTCTTGCCGTGTTGAAAGTTTCAAATAAATCGGCATTGCAAGCATCTAGAGGATTTGGGCGCGTTCTGAATCTGGATCTGATTTTGAAATGGAAACTCCCGCAAAATTAAAAGTTGATTAAATTTGAGAATTAGCCAAGTGCAATTTATAAACCTCAGTTATTCTCAAAGTCAGGTCTTTATCCATCACGGCTTGATCGTCTCTTTAATGCGGTTGATCTGACTTCTCAGTTTATCGGTGTTTCTATTATTTCTAACCTACCGGTCTCTCGATGTGTAAATCGCCCAATTGCTCCAAGAGTTCCGCACTTTCTACATCTGTCGTCGCTTCGTCTAATTCATTTTTAACTTG